GCCAATTTGAGAAAAACTGGTAGATTTTGACTTCGCATCTGTGCGGATGTCTTTGGCTTGCTTCTCCAGATACCGTCCCCATCCTTTGGCATCCTGGTCTTCGCCAGAGACGGGAATCTGTACTAATAGCAGTGGGTCCATCGTCCTGAGAGTTGGAGCCAGGCCAAAGGGAAGAACTGGCAGGAAATCAGAGGAAAGGCTGGGGTGGAAGTCCTTATGACCTCAGACTAGTTGCTGCCCCTAAACAAAGTTTCAGCTCCTGGAGGTAATGGGCTCCTCTGCTCCGCCCCCGCTTCCCCCACCTCTTGCTTCTCCAGTTCTGAGCAGTGAAAGCTCCTGTCACCGCTGTGGTCACACCATTGTAAACAGACCTTTATTAAACGTTGGCCCCTCATTGTGAGCTTGCCCTCTATTTTCTATTGAGACTTATTTGTAGCACATCGTTCACAAAATTAAATTCCAGTTAGATGAAAGGCTTAAATTTATAAAAACATTAAAACTAAGGAAATGTATTTGTAATCTTGGATGTAGGAAGAGTCTTCTTAAAATAAACACAAATAAAAATTCATAAGAAAAAGGATGGATACATGAGATTGAAATCAAAATTTCAATTTTCTGGATGTTTAGATACCCATAAGCAAAGTTAAAAGAAAGGTGGAAGGAAGTATTTGAAATTTAAAACAAAGTATTATCTAGAATATATAAAGATCAATTTTAAATATAAGTATATTTATATAAAATTATATATTTAACATTTAAATATGTTATATAAAAATATTTTTGTACATAAAATATTTTTATATAGTTATATATTTAAATACTTTAAAATCGATTCTAAAAATCGACATCATTAGGAAAATGAACAAGAATATGAATAGGCCCTTCACAGAAGAGGAAACAGAAATGGAATATATATGAAAAGAGTCTTAATATTACTAGTAATCAGAAAAATGCAAATTAATGTAAGATACCATTTTTAAATCGATTGGCAGAACTTTAAAGATTGATAATATCAAGAGTTGTTGAGTAAGGAAACAGGTTCTCTTGTTCATAGTCAGAGAAGATGTTTAAGTTGGCAAACTCTTTGGAGGAAAATCTGGCAATGTCTATTAAAATTATAAATGCATATCCCTTAGGATCCCATTTCTTGGCATCTACTGGGGATAAAAACTTGCATATTTACTCAGACGCATGTACAAGGGATGACGATCATAATATTATTTGTAATAGTGAAAAACTGGAAACACTCTAAATGTCCATCAACTATGGAATAATGAACTCCTTCCTGCTATAGATGATATGCAACAGTTTTTAAAAAGAGGTAGATCTATATGTCCTGACCTGGAAATCTCTCTAACGCATTTTATTTAGTGAAAAACCCACTCAAGTTCAGTATATCATGTAGACCATGATACCATTTGTGTAAATTTAAATTCCCACAAAAATGAAATTATATTCTTTTATGCTTGCTCATGTGCATATAAACATACAGATAAATCTAAAGAATAAACACCAAATTGATATCTTTGCTCTCTTTGGGTAAGAAATTCTGAGATTTACTGGGGGAAATGTCAGGGATTTTTTTCATTTTTTTTTTTTTTTGTTGTTGTTTTTTTTTTATCCTCACCCGAGGACATTTTTCCATTTTTTGTTCAGGTAGAGTGGGAGGGAGAGAGAGAAACAGAGAGAGAGAGAGAAACATCGACGTGAAGGGACACATCGAGTGGCTGCCACCCACACAACCGACCAGGGCCGGGGACAAACTGCAGCCGAGGTACATGCCCTTAGCGGGAACCGAACCCGGGTCTCTCCGGACCGCAGGCCGACGCTCTAACCGCTGAGCCAAACTGGCCAGGGCGGGATTTTTTTCATTTTTCTGTATTCTACATTTCACTATTTTCTGTATTGTTTGAAAATTTACAATATGAATGTATTTATATCTTACCTATAAAACTATTATTTCTTTAGTGAATAGTTTTATCTTGCATTTAATTTCTTCAGAAGAAACAAAAGAAAGGAAGAACATGAGATTTAGAATTACATGGATGTGTGACTTCAAGAAAATTGTCCAGCCCCAGCCAGGAAGCTCAGTTGGTTAGAGCATTGTCCCTATATGCCAAGGTTGTGAGTTCGATCCCTGGTGGGGGCACATACAAAAATCAACCAATTAATGCATAAATAAGTGGAACAACAAATTGATATTCGTCTCTCTCACTCTCTCTCTCCCTTCCCCTCTCTCCCAGATCAATAAATAAAAATAAAAGAAACTTGTCTAATTCCCTGGGACCTGACTTGTCTGTAAAACAAAGTAGTTGTTGTGGAGATTAATTTAGATAAAGCCCTGAGATGTGCAGCGGTGTTCCTGGTACATAGAAAGTATTGGTTGACTTTTTCTCTCTCCTCCATTTGGCCCATGAGAACCTCAAGGACCAAGAACATGCCTCAATTGCCTGTATATCCTGGATGCCTGTGCAGATAGAAGCCTTTACATCTGCTGAAAGAATGAGTGAATGCACAAACCACACTGGTTAACTGTTAATAAACAAACGTACACTCAAGATATGTTCATTGTCAATGGGTAAACAAGAGATGCCTTTCTGGCTTCCACCAGAGAGTTTAAATGCTTCTGGTTGGTGAGAACAAGAAATCAAAGAAGACCAGAGACCCAGGCGAGAGAGAGAAAAGTTTTTAGAGTGGGAAGACTCATCACAAAGACCTGGTATTTTCCAACTTTCTTCTTCAGCGCCCCATTCTCTGTGGAGTGATAGGGCCACCATGGGCAGGGGTGTGGGTACTAAAAGCCAAACTGAGACCTCATGGTCAGGCTGAGAGACTGGACATACTAATGGACAATGGGCTGGCCATATATGACAATGACAATAGAAATCCGACCCCAACCTTTGCAGCAACTGGCCTGGGAAGCCAAACCACAACCTCGGAAGCTATCAGCCCAGAATGTTTAAGACTTGGTCAATGACTGCAACTTCTCTAATTTTTGCCCCCACTGCCTCCTCTATTTTTAACTCAGGATCAACGGAAGAAAATCAAATGCACTCTCCAAACCAATTGCATATGGTGCTTCACTTCTAGTTAGCCTCCTTCCAGCTTCCCCATGCCAACAACCTCTGGTCAGAGCACGCCTGCAGTCTTCCCTCTTTTTCATTATAAAGCTTTTCCACTCCTAGGCTGCCTTTGAGTCTCTGCCAAATGCTAGTGACGGCAGCGACTCCCTTGATGGAGTAGCAAGCTCTGAACAAATAGCCTCCGCTTGTTCTCATGTCAGTGGTCTCTGTTTATTTCCACAAGGTCTTCCCCACATTCCAACTAGATACTAGATAGGTTATGTCTATGTAGTGTATGTATAAAATTTCATTTAGAATGTTCTACTGCCAATTTTTTAAAAAACAAGTCTCCAATGTAGATTAATGCCAAGAGCTAAAGTTCTACTGCTAATTTTTTTAAAGTCACCAGTGTACATTAATGCCAAGAGCCCAACTTCTCAAGGAATCTGAGGAAGGATGCTCAACTTGAATTAAGCTAAAAAAGAAACCAATGTTGCCCAGATAGATAGCAGCAAAAGATAAGACTGAGTCTGGACACAGGACAGAAGCTTCCAGAGATCTCTGTGGGCTGTCCCCCATGAGTCAGGCACAGCCGAGTGCAGAAACCCCAGGGACTGGAGTGCTCAGAGCTGGGCTGGAGTTAACCACAGTTGTAATTCCACTGAAATGCCCACCTGCCAGAGTTGCAGACAAATGAACCAAATACATGAATAAGGCCTTGGTGATTTAAAGAAGAGGAAGGATGTCCGGCCGGTGTGGCTCAGTGGTTGAGCATTGATCCATGAGCCAAGAGGTCACCAGTTCGATTCCCAGTCTGGACACATGCCCAGGTGGTGGGCCCGGTCCCCAGTGTGGAGTATGCAGGAGGCGGCCAATTGATGTTCTCTCTCATCGATGTTTCTATCTCTCTCTCCCCCTCAATTGCTCTCTTTCTCTCTGAAGTCAATAAAGGAAAAAAATAATAATAATAAAGAAGAGGAAGGTAGTTGAAATGAGTCTTTGGATACCAGATTGGAGCCCTGCTCATTTAACCATGACTATTTGTCTGTCTGAAGTCCTAAAATTCTCATCATCAGTCTATACACTCTGTAAGTCTATTTAAAATAAGTCATTCTTATGTTTCCCAAACTGGTGAATGTCAAAAAGGAACTCTGCAGTCAAATACGTTTGGGAAATGCTGGGTGAAACCAAGTTAAACAGGCTTCATTTTAGAAGGACTTTGTAAAACCTTTGATACGCTAACATCCGTTGTGACTTTGCAAGAAGAGGATACAATATACAGCATTTTCCAAAACTGTTTAACCATTGAAGTTGATTTCTTGCTCACCTGTTCACAGCTCCCTGACCATCATTCTATGGGGTGCAATTTGGAGATATCATTTTGAGATAATGCTACCTTTCAGAGGAGGACTATTAGCTGGTTAACACCTTTTATCATCTCCTGTAACTCACCAAAAGGAAAATCAGGAGGCTCCCTAGAAAGTGGCTCAAAAGGGCAATTTTGATGAGAGAAGGAAAAAAGATAAAAAAAACCGAGCCATAGGCTAATGGAGGTTAAAGTTGTTGGGTTTCAGGCCAGCCTAGCACAGATTAAGGATACTAGATATTAAATTCCAGATGGAGAAAGTCAAAGATTATCTTCACTTAGTTCATAATTTTTCTTAACCAGTCATAATATCATTATTTCTAGGAAGATAGAGAGTAGCCAGGAGAATCACTCTACTAGATGAAAATCGAGATTCAGGCAAATGATTCTTTTATAGCACTTTACCAATGCCGGCCTATTGTCCCATTTTCGAGTTGAGATAACTGAGGGCAGAGAAATGATACAACTTGCCTGATGCCCCAGAAAGCCACTTTTCTTTCTGCAACCACATCATGAAGTCTCTGATGGACCATAGGGAAGGGAAGTGTTGCAAGAATTCCGTGCTCACTTACTTTAGAATGACACAGCCCGTCCCTGCTGGAGGCGCTATCCAGAACACTTGGATCCGTGTCCTCCTCCGTGGGGTACTTTCCGTGACCGCGACAGGGCAGTTACTCATAAACTGTGTTTCTTCTTCATCTATGATCTGTGGAAAACCAGTGGAAAATAAAGATTAAAATGTGCTTTGCTTTGGGAAGGCTCTTAAGTTTCCAAGTTGACACTTCCTTAATTTTATTTTTAAACCTGTCATTTGTGTTAGCAGCTTTAGATCCCCAGACACCAAAATAGTGCCTGGCATGGAGTCCCAGTCAGTGCTCGTTAAATTAACATGAGGGCAAGGCTTTGGTGTATGTTCTATGCTCTCTGGGACCAGGATTTTGGGTCAGCACTTTGAGGAACAGACCACTAGGTGATGATCTTGCTCATTTCACTGAGATAAACTGTGTCCCACTTCGGGGAAGGAAGAGGATGATGGGGAAGAGAAAATCCAAAGTGAACACTCTCTATATGGCAAGATTTTGTAACTCTGCTACAATTTTATAACTGGAAATTAAAATGTTACACAATTTGGCTCAGCAGTTAGAGTGTCCACCTGAGGACCAAAGAGTCTCAGGTTCCATTCCGGTCAAGGGCACATACCTTGGTTGCAGTTTGGTCTCCGACCCTGCTGGGGTTGAGGGAGGCAACCAATCAATGTGTCTCTCTCACACTGATATTTCTCTCTCTCTCTCTCTCTCTCTCTCTCTCTCTCTCTCTCTCTCTCTCTCTCTCTCTCTACTTCTCTCCCACTCTGTCTGAAAACAAATCAAGAAATAGTCCTGGCCGGTTTGGCTCAGCAGTTAAAGCGTCGGCCTGTGGTCCGGAGAGACCCGGGTTCGGTTCCCGCTAAGGGCATGTACCTCGGTTGCAATTTGTCCCCGGCCCTGGTTGGTCGTGCGGGTGGCAGCCACTCGATATGTCCCTTTCACGTCGATGTTTCTCTCTCTCTCTCTCCCTCCTGCTCTATCTGAACAAAGAATGAAAAAGTGTCCTCGGGTGAGGATAAAAAAAAAAAAAGAAATACATATAAAATTAAATAAAATGTTAGGCAAAACACACCTTTGAAGAAGTATCCCAAAGAACAAAAAGTTCCCCAGCTTCACAGCACTGTTTACTTGAGCAGTCTCTACTATCTTAATTGTGCATTATATTAGTGTTCTCCCCAGTCGACCATCAAAGTTTCCTACGACACTGCAGAAAGAGCTGAGACCACCCCACCCCCCAAGGCTGCTTTCAGCATTTCTCCTGCGTGCTCTGGGTCTGCTGCCAGCACTCGCCTACCCATCTAGTAGAACCATAGACTATGGATCTTTTGGGGAATCACGTACATCCAATTGGTCTTAAGTGCCAACTCCAGTTGACTGGTAGTAGCTATGTCATGAGTAGTATTAATAACATTAATGGATAACATTTATTGAGTGCTAAGTATGTGTCAGGCACTAAACTAAGTGCTTATCTGAATTATTCATTTAATCTTCAAATGAGGTCATACTACCCATATTTTACTTTTTAAAAATTCCTCTTCATTTTAGTAGAGTGGGTAAAAACATTAAATCCCTCAAACTCCTTAGTTCATCATATAGTTTCATGACTGGACAAAGCAAAGGCAATTGCCTATTACATTTTGTTTATCTCTGTATTCTCTGTGCTACTCCCACTTCCCTCCTCTATTTAGCATTTACTCCCAAATATTTAATGTATGTCTTCCTGAGTGTGTGTGTAACTTGAACTTATATAGAATGATCTATAATTTAATCTTTCTTTTACTTAATCTTATGCTTTTGGGATATGTCCATGTTACTATATAATAATTTCACTGCATACTTCCAGACTGTTCTGCACAAGTGGACGAGCATTCCCACTTCCCCACATCCTCACCTGTACTGTGATTGTTGGATTTTCTAACAGCTCCCAATATGACATATGTAAATTAGTATCTTGTTTTAATTTAATACTAGCAAATTTGAGTATCTCTCCACACGTTTATCAGGTCTCTCCTTCTGTGAACTGTCTACTAAGAATCTTTATCAGTGGGTTTTCCTGTCTTTTTCTTGCTGATTTGTAGGACTTTCTAGATATGAATCCTCCATCATTTACAAATATCTCTCTATCACTCAGAAGTTCATTTTATCTTCAGAATTCTTCATTTAACAGAGTTCAGTTAATAATCTAGCTAAAATTCATCAATTGCTCTCCTGTGGTTTACACTTTTCTGGTTTTATTTAAAAACAGATCACAAAGATATTCCCTAACATTTTCTTCCATTTGCTTTATAATTTCACTTTTCACATTTAAGTCTTCAATCCATTTGGAATTTATGTTTTAATATGATGGAGTAGGGATCCAACTTCATTTTCTCCATACTGTGAGCTACTTTTTAAAAAACTAATAAACTGTTTTAAAGAGCAGTTTTAAGTTTACTACAAATTTGAGCAGAACTTACAAAGAGTTCCCACATACTTCCTGTCCCCACACATGCACAACTTTCTCCATTATCAACATCCTCAACCAGAGCGGTACATTTGTGACAATAGATGAACCGATGTTGACATATCATTACCACTCAATGTCCATAGTTTATATTAGGGTTCGCTCTTGGTGGTGTACATTCTAATAGTTTTGACAAGTGTGTAATGACATGTATCTATTAATGGCGTTGTACACTGTAGTATTGTACTGATGATTTCCCTGCCTTAAAAATCCTCTGTGCGCCCTGGCCAGTTTGGCTCAGCGGTTAGAGCGTCGGCCTGCGGTCCGGAGAGACCCGGGTTCGGTTCCCGCTAAGGGCACGTACTTCGGTTGCAGTTTGTCCCTGGCCCTGGTTGGTCGTGCGGGTGGCAGCCACTCGATGTGTCCCTTCATGTCGATGTTTCTCTCTCTCTCTCCCTCCCACTCTACTATACAAAAAATGGAAAAATATCCTCGGGTGAGATTAAAAAAATAAAAAAAATCCTCTGTGCTCTACCTATTCATTCCCCCCCTCAAAAAAAAACCAAAAACAAAAAACAAAAAAACACATGGCAACCATTAAGCTTTTAATATAATTACTTATTAGTTCCAAGAGTTTTTTGTTTTTGTTTTTGCTCTTTGTTCAGATTTCCCTACATATTATCATGTCATTAATGAACAAAGACCAGAATGTGGTCCATGTTGGCCAATGAAAGGGAACTTGAGAAGAATGTGTAATCTACTGTTGTTGGATGTCTATAGGTATTATTTAACTCTAGATGATTGATGGTGAGTTTGAGTTCAAGTATGTCATAGATATTCTGCCGGCTGGATCTGTCAATTTCTGATAAGGGTGTTGAAGTCTCCAACTATAATAGTGGAGTCATTCATCTATTTCTCCTCGTCTTTCAATCAGTTTTCACCTCCCGTATTTTGACACCCTGTTAGGCACATATATATTAAGGATTATAATATCTTCTTCAAGTATTGCCCTCCCCTTATCATTATGCAGTGCTCCTCTTTATCCCTGACAAATTTCCTTGCCCTGAAGTTTGCTGTCTGAAATCAATATAGCAATCCCTGTTTTCTTTTGATAAATGTTAGCATAGTATATCTTTCTCCATCATTCTACTTTTAATCTATATGTGTCTTTATATTTAAAGTGAGTTTCCTGTAAACAACACACAGTTAGATCTTGTTTTTTAGTTCACTCTGAGAATCTGTCTTTTAATTGGTGCATTTAGACCACTGATATTTAAGGTGATTATTGATAATAGTTGAATTAATATTTGCCATAGTTGTTACTATTTTCTATTTGTTGCCCTTGTTCTTTATTCTTATTTTTGTCGTTCACACATTTTTTTTTTTTGCCTTCTGTGGTTTTAATTGAGCATTTTATATAAGTCTTTTTCTCTCCTGTTTTAGTACATCAATCACACTTCCTTTTTGGCTTTTTTGTGGTTGTCCTAGAATTTGTCTTACAGTATACATTTATAATCAACCCAAGTCTACTTTCAAATGACACTATATTGCTTCACAGATAGTGCAAACCCCTTATAATATAAAAATATTCTTAATGCCTCCATCCTCTCCATTATATCATTGTCATTATTTCACTTAGACATAAGCACACATAAGCATATTTATAGCTATAAGTATACAAAACTGAGCACATTGTTATTTTGAGTAAACTATTATCTCTTCGATCAATTAAGAATGAGAAAAAATAAAAATTTCATTTTATCTTTTTTTTTTAATCATCACATTTTTCCATTTATCTTCAGATAGAGTGGGACGGAGAGAGAAGGAGAGAAAGGGAGAGAGAGAAAAACATCCACGTGAGAGGGACACATTGACTGGTTGGCTCCTGCACGACCTGGGGGGAACGAACAGCAACTGAGGTACCTGTCCTTGGCCGGAATCGAACCCTCAACTCATTGGTCCGCAGGCCGATGCTCTACTGCTGAGCCAAACCAGCCAGGGCTCATTTTATCTTTACTTATTTCTTCTCCAATGCTCTTCCTTGCTTTGTGAAGATCCGAGTTTCTGACCTGTATTATTTTTCTTCTCGATAAAAAACTTTTAAAACTTTTCTTGCAAGGCAAGGGCACTGGCAACAGATCCCCTCGGTTTTTCTTTGGCTGAGAAAGTCTTTGTTTCTCCTTCACTTTTAAAGAATAATTTTGCAGGGTTCAGAATTCTAAGTTGGTGGTTCTCTTCTATCAACACTTTAATTTCAACAAATATTTAAATATTTCACTCAACTCTTTTTCGTTTGCATGGTTTCTGAACAAATGTTGGATATATTTCTTATCTTTGTTCCTCTATAGATAAGGTGTTTTTTTCCTCTGGCTTCTTTCAGGATTTTTTCCTTATCTCTGATTTTCTGTAGTTTACAAATGCTATCCTTACATGTAGTGTTTTTGATACTTGCCTTTCTGGATGCTCTCTGAGCTTCCTGGATCTATGGCGTGGTGTCTGATATTAAGTTGAGGAAATTGTTTATTTCAGTCGTTATTGTTTCAGATATTTCTTCTGTTCTATTCTCTTTCTTCTCTTGGTATTCATATTACATGTATGTTCTACCTTTTTTTTAAAAAAAAAAATTTTTATCCTCACCCGAGGACATATCTCCATTTTTTTGTTCAGATAGAGTGG